TCCTGCATGACCTTGGTATACTGTCGTTTGTAGTAGTATCCAACTTGGGAGTGGTGGCAGCGGTAGCGGTAGCGGTAGTGGTGTTGGTCGTGCTTGTGATGATCATGTTATTAGTGGGCACCAGAATCTAGACCAGTGGAGGGTGGGAGAGTAGGCTCCGATACAAACACACCGCACACCGGCCTCAACACCCCACAACGTGACATTTCAGGCAACAAGCCATCTTCTGGTATCCTGCCAACTCTAAATCCTGAACCCTAGATCCTAATTATACCCTTCGTAAAACCTAAATCCTAAAAATCCTAAATCTTAAACCCTAAATCCTAAAACCCTTACATCTTAAACCCTAAACCCTAAAACCCCTGAATCTTAAACCCTGCATCCTAGAAACCTTAAATCTTAAAACCTAAATCCTAAAACACTAAATCCTACAACCCTAAAACCTAAACCCTAATCCTAAACCCGCCACCTCCCCTGAATGTAAAGACATGAAGAGTCCCCCCCCTGCAGTGGCAGCAGTAGCCTGAAGGTTTCCCTGATGGTCCCAGGACTCAAATAATAGGGTTTTAGGGCCCAAATACGATAACATCTATGGTATTTGGGCCCTGAAGCCCTATTATTTGGGTCCTTGGACCTCAGGGTTTGGCATGATTCATGGGATCAGTAGATCAATGAGAATCCCCAACCAGGGTTTGGGGTTGGGATGGATTAAGGGTTTGGGTTCTAGGGTCTTGGTTTTACAGGGTTTAGGGTGTTGGGTTTATGCGGCTTAGAGGGTTTGCAATTTATTGGCTTTAGGGCTTGGGGGCTCAAAATGGGGGATTTTTTTCCGTACAGTGGAGAAATGCATTGAAAGCAAGTTGAGCTATAGTCTAAACTCCTTAAAGGTGGTAATATAGGGGAGTATATATGGGTAGAGTATGGGGAGTCTCATAGGGGTTTATTAAGGCAGGTCTTTCCATCAAAAGCCGCAGGTGTACAATTCAACAATGCGCACCACGATTTTGAAGCTGCTGTGGTTGCCGTTGAAAGAGGAAACCTTAATCCATCTTTTCCACCAAAGATATCCAGAATTACAGTCCTTCAAGTAGCCTAGTTCAGGTGGACCCCCGACACAATGACAGTGACTACATATCAAAGTTCCCTCATTGCATTGGCGAGTGGTCCACCTGAAGTCGAAACGTGGTGCAAGACTGCTCCCAGGTAGGCTCGCCAATTCTACAGTACCCCAAACCAGGTGGGCTAGCGGTTTAGGGTTTAGGGTGATTCCGCGCGATACCCAACTTATCCTGATAGTTCCGCAGGCGAATCGACTCCTTCCAGAAGACTTTCTGGGGCAAAGGTTTCGACTCAGTTGCGCTTCATGGGGACAAACCACAGACACCCGCCCCTAATTCTAGGAGCCTTCTGGGAGCTTCTGGATTGGGACGGTGGGGCTATTGATGCGGGTCTTCAAGTTCAATTAGGATTCAGAGAATGCTGCCATTATGATTGAAGTCAAACTCCAAGCTTTTTTTTTTTTTACGGCTCGAAAGGGATTTTTTACGTCCATATGAGCTATAGTCTAAACTCCTGAAAGGGGGTCATCTAGGGGATTATATAGGGGACTACTATTGCGGCTATTAAGGAGGATACTAGCAGTTTAGACAATGGCTCATATGTTCATTACGCTTCGTTACAACCGCACTTTCACAGTGCAATGATACGGCATCTACCAGGCTGTCTTTAGCGATTCGATGTTGCTTGCTTTGAAATCTGTATTAGGAATCCCCCCCATCATCTCCTTGTAATTCATCTGTACATATATATATCTATATACACATACATATACCAAAGGTGCCTAAGGGCTCCATGTTTTTACAAACTCCCAGAAGCTGAGGAAAGACCGGGACCGGGACCTTGAGAAGTTCACCAAGGGCGAGTGCTGGCTCATGTTCGCCACCGATGTGCCGCAGCTTCATGTTCCAGTTTCGGGTGTCGGGGACCGGGTTTGGGGTGTAGCCTTTGGGTACCTGAAAGGGTGCAAGTACTTGTTCATGTGGACATTCCCCCGAGTATTGACTGCATAGTTGCCATTCAAGGTAGAGTAGCATGACAAAGGATTTTTTGAGATCGCAGGCTGGGTGGGAGTGATAGGGCTTGGGGTTTAGGGTTTAGGGTTCCTTATCTTGAGGCGGCCCGTGTGTGCGTCATTTATTCATGAGATCGAAGAAATGTGTTCGTTGTGGATCTGTGGAGATGCCAAATTTACAGCCCAGTACAGTACTTACCATACAAGAGCATACAAGCAGATACAATGAGTCCTTGCCAGCCTTCTTGGCTTGCATGCAGGTGTGTGTTTAGCATCATGCCGTTGTCTCCGAACTACTTCTGAGTTTATCCTGGATCTCCAAGTCTACAAATACTACCTACCCCATAAATATGTCCCACTTTGGGCAATCTGGATTCCCAGGGTTAGGGTTTGGGATATAAAGTTCAGCTTAAGAGAGGAGACCCCCTAAACTGCTCCCTTGAGGTTCTCCCTTAAGTACAGTCATTTCAGGATGGTTCGGCCTAACTGATTGATGATATATAAGGAAAGAATGATAATCGGCTGAGAAATCAACTTGGTAGTGCATGTCTGACACCCGTACGGCAGTACAGTCAGTACAAGTCTTGAGAAATGCCAATGCATGTTTGATACTACAGTTCCTATACCTCCCTAGTCACTCGAGCGCTTGCCGCGGAATTACAGTAGTTTAGTGGCTGTAGAGGGTACAAGATTTCCTCCATCAAGAGTACGGTCCTCTACTCTAAACCCTCCCCTCCTAGGTTCCCGAATGTAGTAATGGAGCCATTATGGGGGGGGTTCAAATTTTGTAGATCCTGTAGGCGGCTCGGATTTCCAGAAGGATCTGATCTGCATCCGGAGGAATATGGAACTTACACTTGCTGCCCATACCCAACTCTCAACTGGCAAAGTTTTGTTTGGGCAGAGCATATTCCACGCAGAAGCTGACAGACAACAATCTTGCAGTCTGTGTAGGAAGGCGTTGTTGAAGACCAGCAAGAGACCCCCTTTCTAAAAACCTCAGCCCCTCAACACCCTAAACCACCGGGGCCAGGCCCTAAAACCGTACAATCCAATAAATGCGAAGCTTCAAACCACCCTATGGGTCCATATATCCAATAATTGGGATATTGGAAAAGAAAATGGAAACTGCCATTATATATAGGGATTATATAGTAATAGGGTATATATTCCTTGGTTTGGGCCCTAGCTCCTAACGTCTCCAACCCTCCAGATCTAGATGCAGCCGAGGTCTGTGCCAGAGGGCTCGACATCAAAGGTGTTACGCACGTCGTCAATCTCGACATGGTGCGGTTCTCTGGGGCTTTCTATCTACCTAATATCCGCCCACAGATCGGAGATTTGGGATTTCGACAATGGTGCTTGTGTTGTGCTTGTAGGGAAGGGATTGGGCATGTGCATGATGAGCAGGTGGTTGGGCCAGTAGGACTTGTTGCCAGCGCTCAGCAGTTGGCCGCCTGCATTTTGGAAAGTACTCGGGTGGATGGGGCTTGGCTGTCATTCAGTTGCTTGGCTGCGTCCACCTCCTAGCGACTCAGAGATCCGCAGTATGAGGATGCTGGCTATGACGTGCTGTAAGCCAACAACTTCACGGGTTTCGCTGAAACAGCAGAAGTCCTTGTGGGAACCCAGGAGGTGTCAGTTGCGGCAGTGGCATTGGATGTGTTGGAGGCGGCGATGTTGGTGGTGATGGCAGCGGCGGGGATGGTGATGGGGGTAACGGCCGTGGTCATGGTGCTGTTGGTGACGGTGGTGGTGACGGCGTTGGTGACGGCGGTGGCTGCTGCTGCTGCGGCGGCGGCTGCGGCTGCGGCTGCGGTGGCTGCGGTTTTTGCTGGTGGCGGTGCCCGTTGGAGGCAAAAGTGTTCAGAATGTCAAGAATGGGGGTGGTAACCTGCAGAAGCAGATTCCCTCGCGGAGTAGGCACTTGCATGAGAAAGAACGCATGCAATCACCGAACTCAAGCAGCTTCAGTGCCATAATTGCGAGAGTAGCTCATAGCCCCGACCGAGAGTCTGCGCAAAATGCAGGAAACTCCTGAATGTGGTAACAGATAGCGCTGCTGCCTAGAGGCTTCGGAATGGCTGTTACATTTGTAAGCATGGTAACGGTCGCAAGATACGCAGATAAAGCAGGAGAACTGCATAACCCTAGGCATCCAAATAGCCCAAAGTAAGTACTACAAAGAATCTCGGATGCCCAGGGTAAGACTTCTATACCCTGTTAGAGGCGCGAGACGTCGAAAGCTACGTGTGGGGCCTGGGACGGGATTGTGCCAGGCATTTGCTCTGCTGTATCAGCTTGAACAACTACCAAGATTATCACTATTAGCATTATTACGGTGATACGTAGTATTATCATCATTAGTATATTATACTGGTCCAAGGTTCTTATACAGTTATAGACTACCAATATTATGATTTTGGTCTAAGACTAAGGTTCTTTACATAAGGGTTTGCCAAAATTAGAGGTACCTGTTTACGGGGTCCCTATAAGAAGGATGATCATATCTTGGGGTCTCTATTGGGGTGCCCCTATTTATGGAATCTACCATTTAGTTCTAGTCTGGAATGCCTCATAACTACCGATATTGTTATGGCCTAAGATTTCTGGTATATGATATTTATAAAGGATACCTCAAGGTGAGGTTAGTAGGGAATAATGGAATATACTATATTCGCTTTATACAGGGATTACATTCCCTCATTCCCTACGAACCCTAAACCCTAAACCTGTATTCCCTTTTTCCCTACCCTACACCCCCTATAAACCTTTGTCCCTGCCCTAAACCCAAACCCTAAACCCTAAACCCTAAACCCTATACTCCAGTAAGCTTAGACTTTCAGGAGGTCATCTTTTTGTTCCAGTTTAGGCAAGGCGAGTCGCAGGCTCAAGCCTAGGGATCCACATAGGTTTAGAGTTTAGGGTTT